CTAGATGTGGGGTGGGGGGGAGGGGGTGTGTGTGTGCAATCTGGAGCTCAGCAGCCTTTAAAACAGGCCCATGACTCACACTATCCTCCACATCTAAGGCGATAGGCTGGCGTGCCATTCCCTTGGGGGGGGGGTTCCTCTTGATGAGTGATCTGACTGTGGACATGATCGCTGAAGCTGCAGGCAGGAGGCCAGGCAAACACCCAGCTATCCAGGGGGGGCTCCAGCTGCACCGCAAACACCGCGCTGCTAGGGCAGTCTTACTGATTTCGCCTTTCGCATCCATACTGGCAGTTTATATACTAAATCAGCTTTCCAGTGAAGCATGGCTTCACCGTTACTCAGCGGAGTCAAGCCGGCCTTCCGGAATATCCCACTCGTCATCACTGTCAAAGCTACAACAGATGATGGTACTCTGTTCCGGCGCTGATGTCATGCCGGCTGTAGGTCCGTACCTGTGGGGAGGAACCTGCGAGACAAAGCGATGCCCACAAACCCCTCACCTTGGAGTCCGAGGAGAGCTCCAGAGCAGGATCGCGGCCGTTCTTCTCGCCGGGGGTCCGGCCCAGGCTGGTGGCGCCAGCCTGGTCATCCATGCCAAGCCCAGGGACTGGTACAGGGATGGAAAACTGCAGGTTAACTCCCCGCATATTCAGGGAAAAACTACCTTCAGGTGTAATTCCCTAAATATCCAGCAGATGGTGCTGTAGCACTGTACAGCCTCACCTAATTCGCCAGAAAGTGTTACAATGACGGGGGAGTAAATGCACGGTTTAGCTGTTCTCTTACTGTTAAAAGATGTTATTAATCAGAAACTCCCATTGGGCAGAGCAACAACAATTTTAGATTAGAAGTGGCCCAGCAAAAGGTGGCAGATATTTCAAACATTTCAAAACAGACAAAAAAAAACCATAAATGTGTGTATATATACTGGCAGCAGAGTCAGCCACAGTGCAGGAGCGCTGGAGTAGCTTTATCTGCTTACTGTTTTGTATGTTTACTCCACCAGCTGAAGGGTTTGAACCCACAACCTTCAGGACACTGACACAGATACTAACCAGCTGAGCTGCGTATGTCACCTAAATACAGAGACTCTCTGAAGCAGCAGAAGAATGGGCAAGACTTCGATCTGCGAGACAGTCTAAGGGGAAGCGGGGGCAGCCCCACGTACCCGGACCTAAACTGGGCTCCTACCCCCCCCCACCCCGGCTGCACCGTAACACCATAAAGTGTAATAACAGGACTAAAAGGAGATGGGCTGCCGTGCTCTGATCTGAATTAGGCCAGGCACTAACGCAACCACGAGTAATTTTAGCCTCCCATCAGCGCTGCGAGCAGATTTTGTTTGGTCTGTTAGCCAGCTGCCACAGGCCTCAGCCGCCCACCGCAAGCCTCACCTTGCCACCCCGATGTTTATGTGGCCGGCCTTTATTTGGATGGACTTCTTCTCCATCCATAACCATATTATATTCCTCACTTCAGAGCTCATTTAAAGCATAAAATTCCCGATTCTACAAAGCAGCGAGCGTAGAGACAGACCCCAGTAGCTGGGTAGTAGGTGAAGCCACATACCTGCTCTGCATCAGCCCAGGGAGGTCACTCCAAGCCCACTGGTAAGAACCAGATAGGCTGGCAGGCTAATAAAACATAAGCTAAAGCAGATGTTGCCAAATATAACCCAGCCAACCATCGTTTCTGAAAATCTTCAGCATGGCATTGAGATCTTTTATTTTTTGTGTGTTTTTAGAATTTTTCAAACTGAACATGGCTCTCTGTAAGCCGTTCTCTGCTGTACGCTCAGCACATACGCGTCCCAGTTTGCCCATAAAAAAAATCTTCCTTTCCTAACAAAAGGAAACAGATGTTGGATACATTTCCTGTGTCCCACTGTCATACAGAGGGAACGGTCCAGTTCGCAGTACTCGCAGCGTCCATGGGGGGGTTGGGGTCACATTCTGTAATATGAGAACTGCCGGGGGATTAAAGCTAACGTGCAACCTGGCCAACGGTGTCCTCGGGACAAAACTGCTTGCGTGTCAGATGTCGGTCAGGTGACTCGGAAAACGGGGACAGACCCAGAAATACCCTCCTGCGAGGGACAAAGAGGGCCTACGACGGCAGGGGTGGGCCCACACACTCATGCCGAGGGCAGATGTTTCACCCAAAGCTTTTGATCCACGGCTTAATGCTCTCCTACATTTATGTAGAGCATCAACCAACCTGAAAGGTTTGTTTCGTGTGCCACGCCTATGCAAAGTTTGGAAATATACGTGAAACATTATACAGAAGAATGTCACTAATTAACGATGTTAGAGCGATTCACCCTGGCCTTTAAAAACAATTATTCAATGTTATCCTGCATAATTTGATATCATGGGGATACAACGACACATTGAAATAAATGAAATAGAGATGCCACATCTAGAATCTAGAATCTGTCCCAAAATCCACAGCAGTGCCACATGAAGTATACAGAAAACAATATACTGCTCAGGCACACCTGAAGTGTTTGATCTGAAAGGCCTTCATTACTCTTCCTTTGAGCAGATGATCTTTCCTTTCACCTTTTATTTACGCTCGTGTGGGTAGTGCCCGTTTCCCAGACGAACTCCACCCTACAGACGAGTGTGTTAATCCAAGGGCATAAAAGATGGCACTGGGTTTTTTTTAAAGTGCCGTTCTCCCTGGATCTAGGCCTCTGCGGTTTGTTACCGTGGGAAGCAGGACTCGCCAGAGCTTATCCCCAACCAGACACGGCGAAACAAATGTTCGGCTGTGCAAATGAACAAATGCGTAGCAGGAGATAAGGCTGCGGCTGTGAGGCAGCGTGACCTTTGACCCCGGACTCACCTCCGTCCAGGCTGCGGGACAGCCTCTTGCTGGAGCACCGCTCAAAGTGGGGGGCGGGCCTGTCGATGAGCGTGCTGGCCTGCCGCGTCTGGGCCTGCGTGCGGCCGCTGTAGCGGAACTTGGAGCCCAGGGTGAGAAACCTGGCCTTGGGGGGCTGCTCCGGAGTCACCAGCCTTGGGGGGAGGCAGAGGAGGGCCAGCAGGAGAAGCTCAGCAAGGCGGCATGTGACTTTTCAGGGCATAAAGGTGCCCACCAGCTTGTAACACAGATGCCCTGCAATGCCCGATCAGCATCGACTTCGAAATAGAGATACAGGACCAATGGCAGAACATTTTACCAATCACTGGCTGGTTACTGGCTGGTGATTTTATTTTTGTGTTTTACAACAAGGATACAGCTCTTCTAGTTTGTCTTAATTAGACGCCCATAATTAGCTTTAACCCTCCCGAACGTGTGTCTCAGATGAGTGCAGGCAGAGGGCACAGTCACAGGACAGCGGGTGTGCGAACGTGAATCTGTGTGTTTGTCTGGTGGGTCGGGGGGGGGGGGGGGGCTGTGCGGTTCCCATGGCCGCAGGGCAAACAAGGGTATGACAGCCAGGGAATATGAGGAGACCCTGAGGGTCGTCAGGGGTAGGACTGGAGACTGAGGGAGCTATTTTCCCCATAGAAAAAACACCCCACCCACAGCGGGGCTCGGGGTGTGGCCCCAGAGGACAGGATCCGCCTCTCCGTCACTTCCAGGCACGCGTCATTCTGACATCATCCCTCAAGCGCGTCTCAGAGGCAACCCTAATCAAGCCCTCTGGCTCACGGTAAAACAGACTAGGGGATTAAAAAGGAAATTATTGGCGTTTTTTCCCCCCTTTTTCTTCACTGGGTGGGAGGATATCGAGAAATGGGCCAAGAGCTTTAATTCAAACCGGACAGTTTAATGGAGGGAAATATGAGTTACCTCAACACACACAAAAGGACTGGAATACGAGGGCAGAGTATGGGGGGGTTTTAGTGGTTAGACTGAACTTGGGATTTCATTTGCATCTGTTAAGACCGCAGTTTCACTTTAACACTGGGCCAAGATAAACAGCAGAGATTAAGTACAGAGGATCTCTGCTACAAATGTGGTTCCAATTTAGCGTGGGTCAACAGTCTTCGTACGGCCAGTCAGAGCGTGCCTGAGCCAGGTGGTGGGTGTCTGATGTCCTGCTGTTAAACCTGAGGGCTGATAATCGCATTAAATGATGACAGAACCAGCTTGGGAGGTAGGCAGACGTGGGAGAGTGCAAGAGTCGGGTTGGCGGAAGGTCAGGCTGAACATCCTTCATTCAGTGCTGCATCTCTCTCACCATGCACTCAACATTTGGCTTGCGGATGGTAAAAGGAAGCCACAAGTGCTGGGGGGGACACCTCAGATGCTCCGGAAAGCTCCAGAAGAACAAACAGCATTAGCAGAGTGGGACTTCACAACAATCTGCTCCGGTCTACTCTGCATGTATCTTTTTATTTGGACAGGAAGTCGATCTGATTGTTTTGCTTCCCAGGATCCAATTATATCGCTTCTATTATGGGGTGAAAAAAATCTTTGGTCTTTCCTGGCTAAAAAACAGCTTGATTTCTGTCAAAAATATTCAGTCATTCAAGGCACGTGAACTTCTGTTTAACCCTGTAAATCCACCAATTCCAAGTTGTGATGGGACACTGTCACGCCGGACGTGGCTGCAGTACCTGAAGAAGGTGTGATGCTCCACGCAAACCTTCCACAGCCTCTTAGCCGCGCGATGGTTGGGCAGCTTAAATCCCACGCTGCTCTCAAACTGCTCCGCCTGTAGGACATCGGACAAGATGTTATGGCTCCTTGGAGCCTCCAGAGGGTGCTATGTGGAAAAACACACACCTCCCAGAGACGCCCTACTGTTCGAAACATGTTCAACTGCCAAGCAGGACTGTGTGGTCAATCAAACCACTGGTATACTCGTTAGCTGGTAAGCTGAACTGGCGCCTCACGGCAGTCTTCCCCCTATAAGGGGTCTGGGAAACTGGGGTTGCCATACCTCTCCAGGTCTGATCTTGATGTAGAAGTTGCTCCGTTTGTAGGAGATCTTCAGGATCTTCGGCCAGGCAAAGCGATTTATCCGGAGCCTGTCTTTGTAGATCAGCAGCCCGTTGGCACACACCCCCAGCATGATGTCAACGCCCTCGGAGTCCTGCGGGGGGGCGTGGGGACATGATGAGCGCGACGGGGGGTGGGGGGGTTGAAAGGACCTTTCAAGGTTGGGCCCATTCCGGAATGCATTCATCAATTCCAGTCCAAATCAGGAAATGGAACTGGAGCTGGAATTTAAATCCTCCTGAAATTTAAATTCAATTCCAATTCTGTTCCCCATAGTTCCTAACCCCAACTCCAGTTCCATTTCATGATTTGGACTGGAACTGATGTATGTATTCCGGAATGGGCCCGACCCTGGTGCCGTTGTGCGGGACACGCCCATTTCTGTGCCTACCACAACCCGCTATGTAGGCTTAATGTCTTAATATAAAAACCACCACAAGCCGCAGATTCAGCGAGACACTATTTTCCACCTCACTGGATTATTAATGTGGAAATACTATTATTACTCTGTATAAATATTAAAGCTGTTTAGAACGTCTGCAAATCGGGCATGCTATTGATTTTTAGCTACGAGGCAGGATGAGTTGGATGGAACGCACTAATGAGCGCTGGGAATCGATTAGCCGCCTCTGTGCGCTACCAGCCATAGCACCAAGGATGAGGGGCCATTAACAGCGACTCGACCATCCGCAAGTGTTTCCTTTCCACAATAGCACTCCGCAACTGGACCGGCGACGAAATATGTCGAGATCTTGGAATGCTGCCGCCGTAACCTTAAATAATAAACTGTGCAAATCTGTGAAATGGATAAAAGTCACGTTTCCTCTGACACGTGGTACTAGGCAGGGATAACTAAACAAAACTCTGTATAAACACAGCGCAAATACCAAGCGTCTGCAAATCCATACAATGCAAGCCTGGAACTTATAGGTAAACAATGTTTTACCGCTGAGGGAAATCCCTGGTAACACTTCTGAGACTCAAACCACGAGTCCAAAGTGGAGCCCAGATACAATAGTTACCAGCAATCACCCATCCCTTGCAGTGAGTGCAGGGATTGAAGCTGCCTTCACTATAAGTGTAAATATGCCATTACAACAGTAAATACAGCTGGCCCGCCATGAATGTGAGAGCCCTGACCCCCCCATCCCTTTCCCACCCTCAGAAACTGCTGCCAACATCTGTTTATGCAGCTGAGGCAGAACTGTTGAATTTTTGGTTGGATTTCCACCCCAACCCCCCACCAGCTGACCACGAACGTCTTGCACGTTTCCAGAGAAGCTGACAGTCTGATTGGGCTTCTCCGAAGTCCCCATCCTGATTCTGAGCAGAGCTGAATGTGCATCGCGCGACCTTCTCACCCAACGTCAAACTAACAAGCTGCAACTTCATCCAGAGAGTGGTATCACTGTAGCGCTAGGAAACTCTAAGCAAGCTACAGTGTGTTTGCAGTTTAAGTGTTCGTTACTTTAACTAAACCATCCATACTCATTAATAGGAAATGTTTATTTATCCTGTGTACTCGAGCACCGCTGGATCACCCACTCTCATATGTAAGGGTCGGCCACCATTTTTCTTCTCTCATTTCATAACTTCACATTTGCAGTGTTTCTCAACCCGGCCCTCGGGGGAACCCCCCCGGCGGTCCATGTTTTTGCTCCCTCCCAGCTCCGGGATGTGGGAGGGAGCAAAAACATGAACTGTCCAGGGTCCCCGAGGACCGGGGTTGAGAAAAATTGCACTATTGGACATTTGATGCTACCAGTCTTCGTACCTTTATTTTCCCCACAGGGATTAATAAAGTGCATCCCATCATCTTCCTCTGCGCTCAAACCAAGTGATTTAAAAGGCAACTGGCGGAACCCGAGTCAACAGTGATAAATAGTAAATTTCATGCAAACTGAAAAATGCAGAAAATCAACCACATGATCTATGGCATTTGTGAGCATGGTGATAAATAAAGTTTTTCATTCAAAACACAGTAAAGCACAGGAGCAGTGCTGGGCTGCCAAGGCGAGTCGCCCACAGTACCTTGGCATGGTGAAGGTCCACCCCATACATCGACAGCTTCTTGGCGTTCTCCAGGAACTGAGCGTCCGCCTGGGCCGGACTCATTCCCCTGATGATGGAAAGACGGGCGGAAATGAGAAGGAAACGACCGAAACCAGAATGCCAACACTGGCTCCTGCTGCAGAAGGCCGTACACAGCCAGCGGGATGCATTTAAAACGTCTAAACAGAGACTTATCTCCTTGGCAATTTAACCCATATTTTTCTGCAGAAAAAAAATCTCACTCCACTTTCAGCTGCGTACCAAATCCTTTTCTCTCTAGCAGACCAGTATGGAGGAATCTCTGGATTTATGGATGTGTCTCTCGACCGCCATTAACCCCGCTGTCATCTCTCTTACTAATTATTTGCCTTTTGGTTCTGATGAATCCCCCACAGGGTCCCAGCACACCTTCACATTGTCCTAGTTTATATCTTTCACAGATAATCACCTTGATCTCCAGCAGTTGCCAAGCTGAATGGTAATTTTAGCACGGGCCAAGAGGAAGGAATTCACTGGCTGTCTGTGGTGATCCCCAACGTCCCCAGTGCCCCCGGCTGCCCAGCTTAAAGGCATGTGAGCTCAGATTGCTGCCGGACAGACTCTGCACTTCCTGCCGACTGCATTATAGATCCCGTTTCACCAGCCAGAGTGGCCACATCCCCTCGGCCAGCTACCAGTGGAGTCTGACCAGGGCAGATCAGGTGACAGGACACCCCCACCTCTCTGTTGGCCCCATGTCCCCTTCGAGGGTCCCACAGACGCTGCGGAGGCCCAGCTGACACGGTGACATCACCCTCTGCCGCTGGAGTTGCTATGCTAACAGGATGGGAGTTACATCACCACCCAGGCATGGCTTGGCTCGGTAAGAACGACGGGTCACCAGCTGTAACCCGCCCCCCAGTTTCCCTTCATGTGGAGCAACGCAGCCGGACCCAGAACAGACAGCAGGGCCCCTCTCACGCCAAACTTGTGCGCTTCGCCTTTTCATACCTTTGTTACCGCGTCACGAGAGTGAGTGTGTGGTTTTATTCAGTCGCACTTCTGCATTCTCATGGCCAAAACCCGTTATCGCACCAGTTTATTGAGATCAGCGATGCATAATAAGTTCCATACAATGGTCTGCATTATTTAATGGTTTACATTTTTTATCCAATCAGGAACTAATACCTGCTGAAACTCCGCCCAGTTAATTTGCATACGCATTCAGCCACTCCCCCGGGCAACACTGAGGCACCGCCCACACACCTGTGAGTTTTGTACAGCTCCACCACCTTCTCCTCCATCTCCTTAGACTGCGACGGGGCAAACTGGAACTCGCTGATGTAGTCGAGGCAGCATGCGTCGGGGTCGTGGTCCCCCATCTCAGCCTGCAGGGTGTAGGAGCCAAGCAGCGAGTGGGTGACGAAGGAGCAGGGCAGCCGGCCGGAGGCGATGTCCTGGCGGAGCTGAAGGCAAAGGAGATACCTACAAGGGAGGAGCACAGGGACCACGTTCAGCGGCTGGGACTCGGGTCACATGGTATAAATATCTGCGCAGGCACCATCCGCAGGGGGCGGGACTTGGGTTAATGGGTGTAAATTGGCAGCACAATGTAAATAAACCGAGGAATTACTACACTGATGTATACAAAGCAACTGTAAGTGAGAATAACTGAAAAACAACAGATGTTCCATCTGGCAGCGCTGTGTAGAGCCTGAACTCATCAAATCTAAAAATGGCAGCGTGAACAAACGTGTGAAAAAGGTGGGTGTTTAGAGTTTACGCGACACGGTCGGCCCAAGCCTTCGGGGCGCCGAAAGCGCGCCGGCATCAGGTGCTACCACAGAAGCGAGAACATTTCTTCACACGAGAATCGGGGCCGGCGTGCGTATAAAAGGTCAACAGAAACTCTATGCTACATGAGAGCGTCTTCGTAAGATCTTCAAGGACCAAACTGAGGAGACGACGACGACAGACCCATATCAGAAGAAGAGCTTGGCATGTGAGTGTGTCTTATTTGGCATGTGGGTGTGTCTTATTTGGCATGTGGGTGTGTCTTATTCAGATGCCATATCCTGTCCAGCCTCTGTTTACTTTGGCACTTCTGAGGAATTGACATCAAGTCATTCCAAGAGCACTTAAGCCACATTCTATTTGGGTTTACGATTTATAGAACATCAACCGCACTATTAAAATATTTATTTCCAGGTTTAATGTCTCTAACGGGATTTACACACAAAAACCCACCAACTAACACGTCATCATTTCATTTTTTGCTGTAGATGCCCCTTCAGACTGGGCATATCTAAAGAACTAACATCACTGTTTATCTCTGCATGCATCTCTATGGATTTGCAGCCAAGGGCTGTTTAATCAAGCTGCTCAAAGAGCCTGGTGACGGCAAGGTGTTCAGGCCACAAGTGGATGGTACCTGGTTATATCCTCGGTGAGTTGGGAGGGATCGGGGGGGTAGAATTTGACGCTGAAGGCAAACTGCCATGGACAGTCTGCAAGAGACAGACAAACACCAGGTTAGATGACAAACATGCAAACTCCAGAGCGACACCACAATTCTCAGGCATGACTGAGGGTCACAACCGCCCCTGTTTGGCTGGGAACGAGCCAACTGTGTCCTCCTGAAGCTTAAGTTGCTAAAAACAGACCTTTACACAGAGAAGCCTTTGCATAAATAAAAGAGAGTATGAGGAGGAAGAGGGGATGGGGGCCGGAGGCAGAAAAGATGCAACAGCTGCATGCGATTCCACCAGAGGCGGAGTGAGCCTCTTTGAAGGCCTCTCCACTACTGCAAACAGTCAGGCGGCACGACGACTCGCCCCCGGCAGTCGGGGGGGCGCGACGATTTATGCCTCACAGTCAGGGGGCACGACGATCCTGCTTACGGTCCAGTTAGTTTTCCACTTGACCAGATGAAAACATCTTTAAGTGACTGGAACATGACAGCCAGCCTGAGCTTCAAACGGCCGACCCTGGACAGGAACCCCGAGAACAAGCCTCGCACTGAGGCTGCACTGTTAATGTCAGGCGCCCACACTGGGTACATTGTGGTCTGGGTTCCGTCGGACGGACTCCACCACGGTCAAGTCGGCCGGGCGCCGGGGAGGGGAGGGGGTGTGGTGGTGGCAACAGAGGCGGGATGAAAACGTCTGGTTCCAGTGAGGAGTCTCCGCATGCCTGGACGCCGTAACCCCTTCAGGAACTCCAGGTGCTGCGTGAAGCTCCTCCAACGAGGAGTCCAAAGGCCCATGACTGAGGCGAAGGCTGCAGCGTGACCCGAGGCTTCGTGCGGACCCGCCAGCCACCAAACGTTTTCATGGGAAGCCGTGGGCACACTGGCATGAATGCGCCTCTGTCCAGCAGCACTCGGGCAAGCCAAATGTTGAACTTTAAGCACCTCCTGCTCTCGAGAGACCCGAAGAAACCCTCCATTTAGGCTTGTCAAACCTCCGCCGGCCGGCTGGGGGTTGGTGGGGGGGGTTGGTGAGGATTTATCGAGATTCCAGAGCGAGGCGGCGAAGAGAGAACCTGCTTTTGCAAGTGGATGTGCAGCCGGGCCTGAGTTTAATGAGAGATTGTGCAGTGGAAGGAGCAGGGCATGGTAATTCGGACCCCGGACCCCCCCGTCCATTAACAATAGACCTTGAGAGACTGCGGCGGCTAATGCACACCTTGCAGGTACAAACATAAGGCGCTGAGATTTGATTTGTGCCATCCATCCATCTCAGAAGAGCAGAGAAACACAGCGATCCCAAATGGCAAACAGGTCAGGTCGGGGAGCATGCACTGATGCAGCGCATCACACGGCCAAACTCCTTGGGATCATGGCTGGCGGCCCCCCAGGCAGATACACGGTCCAGTCCCACCCTCCGGAAATGGCCATCCATCTGCCGCAGCCAGGTGTTACTTGGGCCTGATCTAGCTGCTCAGGTCCTCAGCAATGAGGATCAAGATAATGGGACCAACCCAATGTCCTCTTTAGGTACCGATCCTGCCTCAGATATGATCCTCCTGAACAAACAGATCCTGAGTAAAAACTATAAGCAGAACAAATTGGTTTGAGTAGAACTTGTTACTAAGTAATAGAATACAAAGAAAAACAGGATAAGTCAAGTCAGGAGGGAGATTTGGGCCCCGTTGCTTGAATCACATTTCACAGGGACGCCGTCACCTCCGAAGGATGTGGTGAGGTAACGGAGCCCACCCCCAAATCAATGACTTCACCCCAAGCCAATTTCCCCCGCTTTGGGCCCCGTGCGTCGCACGAGGACGCGCCTGTCTGCCGGCCGCGTCAGCGCGGGCCGGCCGGGTCCTCACTGGACACGAGCGTGCCGCAGATCTGCCGCAGATGGGAAACGTGTGCTTTCTATCAGCCGATGACGTCAGTGCCAAGACGCTTGTCTGAAGGGGGAGGCCTCCTTCAAACCCAAAGTCAATTAAACACAGAGCCAAACTTCTGGGAGGTGGGGGGGGGGGCAACATCTCAAACTGAAGATGCTTGGAAGAGCAGAGAGGAAAGCAGACCTAATGTGATGCAAATAAGAACCAAAAAAAAAAAAACATGGAACAGACTGCCCCCCATGCAAGCGAGCCGGGCCCCCCAGTCCCCACTGCCACCAGGATTCATTTATTTTTATCTGCAAATTAACACAACTACATGAAGAACAGAGTCAGAGAAATAAATGTCCAGCAGGTTTGGGTCACGTGCTCCATCATCACAACGAGACGTGTGATTGGGCGAGGGAGCATTAACCAGTATCAGTCCGCAGCTGAACAGGCGTCCAAGGAGATGCACCATCTCCAAACTGAATCCTCCAACCATGATGTAAATGGGCATGTCTGAACATCCCTGAACATCACACAGTGGACACTTCCCATGGAAATCACACCCCCCCCACCCCGGCAAAGCTGAACTCACTGAATTTTGCAGCAAGGACCCAAAAGACCCACATGACAGTGACCACAGTGTTATAATATGCTACACTCACAGCACTAAACTCACAGGATGTGAAAGCGGAAGCTCAAACACTGACAGCCACAGCTACCAAACAAAGCACCAGCCCCACCAAACCAGCCTCTAACGCAGGGGGTAACTTTTTGATCAAAGGTCCACATCAGATTTGTGTTCAAAGTCAGAGGTCGGGAACAATTTCCAATAACAAAACAGCATTTCATGAACTTTAATGAATAAAGAATAACTCTCTATATTACATATCGATATATAGCAATAGAGGGAGCTTAATGTAAAGACTTAACACCTGCTGATCGTTTGACACTCTGTCATGGGCGGGGATTTTAACATGTTACGTGTGTGTGAAGTTTGCTGGTTCTACATTGTAATTTTTCCTTCCAACCACATTAAACCTTTTTATAGTAACCATATTCACTCATAAGGTGCTTTACTGGCTTGGTCCGGATTAACTTGTGGTTTGGTCTGCATCCGAACCACGGTCCGGACTTTGAGACGGCCCTTTGCTTTTTCAACCTTTCTTAAATCCCTCAAGTGAAAACAGCCCAAAACCCAGAGTTCCCCTACAGCAACATTATTTTTGTGATGCGTATTAGCTAATAATAGTGACATTTCATCAATCTGAGAAATGTCTTATTGGACCACCTACAGCTACTCTTCAGTCCCCCTGCGGGGATCCTTGTCTGGTTTGTTTAGCCACCGCCTGTAATCGAATGTCACGCTCTTGGTCACGCTCTTGGTCACGCTCTTTGTACCATCGTTGTGTTTTTTTTACACGCATTAGTGAGACCTGACATCGTCACGCGAATCAGGTTTCCCCTCTTAAGAAACACAAAAAAAAAACAATCAACAGCAAACTACTTACTTCGAATCTGACGTTTGATCTCCTTTGCAGGGTCCAGCCAGCACTAAAAAAAATAAAAAAAAAAAAAAAAATAGAGAGAAACATTAAGAGACGTGAAGATTAAATGTGGCGTTTGAGGCTGGTGCCCACACGGCCTTCGGCGGCTCCCTGGTGAAACGCGGCACACGGTGACCCCGGAATCTGAGACCCACACAAACAGTAAGAAGTCAATCCCATAAAGCGGGCCGTATAAACAAGCAACCTGAGCGGGACGTTTATAGGAAGTCTGGGGATTACAGCGCTAATCCCCGGAGGGCAATGTGGACGGCATTAATGCCACGTTCTCCACATCCGGTTGCCACGGCAATTTGGCTCCTCCTTCCACAATGGGAAAAGCCGAAACCAGGACTGAGGGGTACCCTGGTGACCTCTGAGCAAAAACAAGAAACTTCCCAGTGAGGTCCGTCTCCCGTCGCAGTGCCCCTGTGAGTCTGAGGCGGACGGCCCGCGTGGCGCGGGCGAGGAATCGACACGCTAGACACCATTATAAAATGAGCGTCCGCTTAATTATCACAGCGGGATACTGGCAGTGCAGCGTTCACACTTTGATAGCCAGGTGCATGCGATTCACCCGTAAGCAGATGGAGGGGGGGGGGGGGAATTCCACTCCAAACCGCTCGCACCCATTTCTGACACCATACACTGTGATAGTGCTGCAGTGAGAGCCTCATCGAAGCCCATTCACACACATCCAAGCACATTTTTCACTGTCTAAATCGGCAATATGGCATAAGGTTCCATTTCTGGAAGGTTTTAATTTTTTCATTGCGTCAGAGTTTTTAAGCGCCTAACCCTCAGACAGTGGTTTCTATGGAAACTAAACGTTCAGTTTAATGCTCTCAACATGACCACCCTCCCCCCCTGCCCCCACAACCATGGTGTCAACACAAAAACAAACTGCAGGGGCTAAACACAAGTATGAAGAGCTAACCAACCATTTTTGCAAGTTTGGATGAAGTGCGTGGCATTTTGTAATGAATTATGATGGCGGTTTGAACAGGGTGCCCACGGTATTGACAGGGCAAAGGAAAAGCTGCTGCAGTCTAACAGCCAGGGCAGTGTTTCCCAATACGGTCCTCGGGGACCCACAGTCAGTCCAGGTTTGTGCTCCCTGCCAGACAGCAGAGTTTTGCTCCCTCCTAGGAGCAAAGGACTGGACTGGGAAACATTGAACTAGAGTCAAGAAGGATGCAAAGGCTGTGAAAAATGCCCTCAAATGCTGGGATGTACTGCATCTCACAGAGGCGGCGTTTCATTCCCAGCCCGAGGGGGAACCGTTTACTACAGAGGCGATGGAAAAAGAATCATAGATACGAATGACGTTTTTACATAATGCTTAGGGCCCCTCTAGTTTTTGCAAACAATACCTGCTAGATGAATTCATTTGCTTACCAAGTTCCCCATTAACTCTGATTCTGTTATGAGAAGGTGTGACAGACTCTACCTTCTGGTCTGCGTGGTCTTTGTAGCACAGTCCAAAGTAATCCTTCTCCAGGAGGTTGAGATGTTCACACACTTTGACGAAGAGGACGATGCCCTTTGCCCGTTTCTGGGAAAACAAAAGCAGTAATGATTTGTTGGGGGTGGGGGAGGAGTCCACACTGCTCACTGATGGTACTGCTGCAACAAAGAATCAACGAAACAATTTTCATTGTGTTGCTCAGAGAAACATTTTAGCAGGGGGGGGTCGTGTTTTAACTGAGACACTTGTAATACAGCCACACTCCAGTGGGAAAAAGGCACCTTTCCAAGGAGAATGAGGAAAATGGGTCATTTTCGGAACAGTGGACATGCCACGTCACTCTTGAGAGAAGAAGACAGATTGAGGGTAGGCTGATTTAGGTCTTGAAATTGAAGCTACCAGGCCTGCATCTCCGGGGCCGAGGGCGGCTGAGGGGGGGGGCATTCCTCGCACATGCTCAGTTGGTGGAGCTTCTCGCTGCCGATGTATAGATGGGGCCAGGTCAGGGCAGGGAGTTTGGGCGCGAACACATTCACCCGTCGGCGTGACGGCCCGCTGACCGCCATGGAATGAGGAGAGCACGAAGCTTCGCTCTGCCCTGACGGGGGGCGGATGGACATAGCCCTGGGGGCAATAATGTTACGGGACGCGTGGCACTGGAATCCTAAAAACCCAACAGAGGTGGGGGGGAATAATACAATGATGCCGATTCCCAGAAGCTGGGAGGTAGGGGTGAGGCAAAGGGCCCAAAGGAAAAATGCGAGGCACGATGCTTTTATCGGCCAGGCCGCAGAAATGCGACAAAGCAGGCTGCAGCTAAATCGTTATCGTCCAGACAATGAGCTCTGTTAACTGCGAGCCACTGGCTGGGATGCATTCTGCCAGTCCGCCTCAGGTCACGTGACTGACATTCCTGCACTGGCAGCCAATGGGCACACACCTTGATAAAGAGACCAGTTACAGTAACAATAAAAAGACTCTCCCCACAGCTTAGCGAGTTTTCCATGTGACCTTCAGGCACATCACTGGGGAAAGTCAAAAGCACACGCATATTTATTCTCTAACTGTTTAAAGCAGATTACCCACCAACCATCACAAAGAAGTAAGAAATTATACTCCAGTAAATGCCCGCAAACTTAAAAAGGGTGAACTGTTCTCAAAGTTAAAGCTCACGAAAACAGATAAGTTATGATCTAATGTAATCATCAGTGAAGGTTCTTGTCTCTTCAATATTGCTGCAACAGAACTTGCGACAATCTTGTAAGCTTGACGGGACCTTACAGAACTCCTGCTCCCCGCTGAGCGGCGTGTAATTCCGACCGGCATTCCAGACAGCCGTGCCGCGTGCAATCAAAACAAGCGCTGCTAATCAAATTACTGGGACAAAAAAAAATGCAAACGGCACCAAACAAAGGGGCTTGGCTGCTGCTGAAAGGACAGTCGACTTCCTCTTAATCTCCAATACATAAGAGGCACGGGATTTATTTTTTTAATGCCAAGCTACAAACAGGGATGATTGGCAACTGGTGCCCCCCACAGCTCCCACTCACTCCAGTATCATATATATAAAATCACCGTATGTCCTGTGGATCAGACCCAGACTGACATCCCTCGATGACGGCTTGCTGTGAGCCCCTCTTCCGCTCTCGAGCTGGGCTAGGAGAAGTTTCTGCATCAAGGAGCATTTAAACGCAGGTAGAGCTGAACGACAGCTTGGCATAAGCACCCAATTGGCCACAGCTATACCAGCGTTAGTGGTGCATTGAGATAAGCAGAACCGACGGGGCTTTTGAAGTTGGCCAGACACTTTTTTCCAGGTTACTTGATGTAAACCCAAAGGGGAGCAGACTGTGTTCCAACCATGACTGCGCTACAGGGACTGCGTCACAGTGGGAGGACAGTGCCGTCACTCAGCCGCCGTCTCGGGAAAAGTTCCCCTGGAAACCGGAGGGCGGAGCCACGAGGGGCCACTGCACGCGGAACGAGCCTGTCGCCAGAGACTGGGCGTCGTGACGCGGGTCTCCATGCGCTTCAGGGGGGGGGTGGAGGACAGCATGTCCCCTTTTAGCGTGCCGCATTCCAGCCTCGCCGGCCAATCCTGCAGACTCAATTGAAAGTGGCAGGCGCACGCATTCGGAGGGAGAAGAGGGAAGCCGGCTGGCCGAACGGACGGAGCTGGGAGTCCGGACACGTCAGCATCGATGCCATGTTTCGGCCTGACCGAAGTCGACGGCCCAGAATAACCAGAGGCTCCATTTTGATGAGCAGAGAACTATATGCCAAAGGCACTCTCTCTCTCTCCCTCACTCCCATTAACAGCGATTCAGTGCCCCTGGGCCACTCGATTCAGTAAGCACACTGTCCACATGGCTCGTTAGGGCCAATGAGCACCAGCTCATGAGGCCAGAAAATCGGCCAGGGCAGGGTCAAACAATGACGGGGAAGGGTATGACCAGCAGACAAAAACTCAGGGTACAAACTGCACGAGCAGGCTAACTGCGCACAAGAGGCGTGACGGAGGCGCCCCGTTTCAGCTGTGTAACTCGCATTTTGGGTGCTGCGCAGGGTTCGCAGCCAGGGGGCCGCTAGCTTTGGGCAGCGCCTGAAGGCGTCACCTATGAGCTATTCGGGAACAATCCATCCACGGCCTTTAGGGACAGGGTGGGCTAGGACAGTGGGTGTGTGTCCTAAAGGTTGCCTGTCAGCTCTCCAGAACAGTCTCTGTTGTTTCCAACTTGCAGAAGCCTCACGAATGACTCATCGGCACCCCCTCCCCCCCGAAGATTTTTTATTATGCATTATTTCATTGTTTGACTTTATGGATACACAATCAATTGGGCTCCAAATGAAGTTTAGCCAGTTGAGTCACGCTTGACTTTCTCCATGACAGCTGGTTGAGCTCCACTAACTGCGGATGATGGCTAATTAACTAAATTACTAACTAACTGGCATGCTAAACTACACACTGCAGCAAAACTAAAATGTCAGCACTGTACAGCATAACTCAAAAGCACTTTAAAAATAACATGATGACAAAAAAAGAAAAAGTGATATAAACCCATCCAGGATTAGAGGCGTAAGTGCCGGATCAAATTGCGTTTTCATTGGCTGGTACGTGGGATCATCTCCGAGTAGCAGCTCCTTCCCGGATCGATAGGGACCGGCTGACTTGCGTGACCAGACCCCCCCCATCAGCAGCTTGAAAGGGGCCATTTCCCCACTGGCAGCGGCACCAGTTCTGGCCTGACGTGCCGCTCTCGGATGAGTACCAGGCCCCTGGCGGACACCCAGCCTCGGAAATCTCAGCAAGCCGACCCCCATCAGTTAAGCCGTAAACACTTGCCGAGCATCATTCGCCCGGCTTTGACGACGACAAACTGCGAATGATTACAGAACACAGGGGCAAAAAAATAAATAAAGGGCATACATCATGAGGACAGCCTGGCATCGCTGGTACGCAAACAGGCAGGACCAGCTGCCTCGGGCGGCTAATTGTATTCCGGGACCGTCAGAAATTAAGGATCATCTCTGGAATGCTTTGTCCGCCATTAAAAAGGTCCCCAAAGTGCACAGGCATTACAGCTCATTATAAATATGCCTGTGTCTTCTGGCTGAATAACCCCCAACAATGGCGCGTACTGATGGCTCAGCTTTTCCGTGGCCGCGGACAAAGCCGGCCCTGTCGCGACCGGCTCGCGGAGAGCAATCAGAGCCAGGGTCCGTTCAGGGCCGCCGCGCCACACGCTCAGCGGCGCTGAATACACGATATCGCGGGCTCTGGCCCGGTGCATTCAGGGGAGCAGGAAGCGGGGGGGGGATCTCAGTATCACCAGCCGAGGGGGAAACAGCTAGCGGACTTTAGCACTGCTGTTCATCGACGATGAAATTCCTCAGCCCTGGCGTGCTACTCGTCATTTGCCTATGCTGGGGGGCAGATGCTGAGAGCTCAACCTGCCTGCACTAACCCCCCCATGTAGCAGGTTGACAAGACCCATGTGGGTGATTCATCCTTTGCTGCTTATTTGGCACCATCTCATGCCTGACCTGCCCCCGCACGGCCCCCTCCCCAGGGCGGCCGGCACAGCAGGACACGGCATGGCCCGGCACACAGCGACATCGGCCCTTTCCCTCTCTGCACGTCCTAAGGACAGAGGTGTTCCCGGAAGACGCAGGAAACTCGGCCTCTCTGTGCCGTTCCGTGACAAAGCTGGAGGTTCACAGCAATCCTGCACGTCGCTCCGGCTACAGAACTGGGCTCTGGCTGCGATCCCCGAAGGCATCGGCAGACGCATGCGAGCGGCCCAGGCTCATCCCATCATGGGGAAAGGCGTGAAATCATGCGGAGGGATGCGCCGACAGACAGATGCATTCCAGGGTGTACAAGTATTCGCTTGGCAAACTGCAGTAAAAAGAGTACACAGTACACAGAATAATGAAGCAGAATTACAAGACGACTAGCGAGAGCATAAGAGTGTGTCTGGGACTGTCCCTGTGTTATATGTACAGGGAAACGTAGACAGCGTGAGTACAGCGAACTTAAGAATTTTTCATGAGTGATTCTAGTAGGTGGGGGGTGGGGGTTTAAAACAGCCCCAATCTCGAGCCAAAACGTCATCAAGGGCCAGCGTGTTTGGGACAGTGCCTAATTAAATCAATCGAGCCTCTTCAGCTCCAGTTCTCTGCTCACACCATTAGCCTGCAGACAAAAATAAGATCAGCTTACACTCAACTTGATTATGGCGAAAAGAACAAGGGGCGGGGGGGAAATAAATCTCCGTATAGCCACCGTAACTCGATCCGCGTGGAGCTTCAATCTCGGCTCCCCTGTCCTGGTGCATGCTGGGAATCACACCAGGAGCCCAGACGCAGTCAATAAAACCCCATGAGCGATCAACAACGTCCGAGTTCTAGTAAGTTCCAGCACGCTTCTTTAAATGGTATTCAGCCCCTGGGATTGTAAAGGGGAAGAGCGAGAATCTCACATACGCATGCGCTCCCCTGCTTACGTGTGTCCCAATTGGACCAGGCATGAAGGTGTCTGAAAGCAGGACCTCAGATGCATGACGCTCCCAAGCAGCATGGGCGTGAGCCAGCCGCCGCATGGTGCCAGTCACCCAGCAGACTGCTAAGGGGTGGCCCTCCCACAGACAACAGGGAGCAGAAAAATGCTGAAAATAATTCCAACTCTGCCGGGAAGACCAGAAAATAATGTTACTCCAGAAAAAATCCGGCGCACTCAGCTGAATTGTCACAGTGCCCTTCCTGTAGCAAATGACGTCATCGTGATGAGCTTTATAAAGGACATGACAACGTGCATACATAGAACCCACACAGTTCGACTGGAAAAGTATTTAATGCTTTAAAAAAAAAAAACAAACCTTCATGCAGAAATTGGACAAGACCATCCTAATTCTATGCAAGCCTACAGCTAATCTGTCTGTTGTACTTTTGTGTTACATGTCAATCACAGTAATCCATACAATTAACTGAAAATCCCACGCTAGCAGAAGCCATGCCATTCATCCTTCAGCTTTAGATTAAACGTCTACTTAGCTACGAAGGGCGCAGCGCAAATCCATCTTACGAATCTCTAGCGAGGCTCAAACGGAGAGAATACAGGGTTTAAGGGAAGGCTGGGGTGGAGCGCGAGGGTGGAGCGCGGGGTTCCTGTGCGGCCGCAGCGGCCCGGATCCCTGCGAGAACGTAAGGATCACGGGCCAGCGACCCCCGACTGGGTGGCCCGATAACCGGGCATGTCGGAGGGGCGTGGAAACATAGGTGGATTGGGGGGTAAGCAATTATATAAAAAGTTGCTGTAGGGGCCCCAAGGTGGATTCCTAGTTAAGCACCTGCCAGTATCCCCCCCCCCACCCCCACCCCCCACTCACCTCCACCTCGCAGGGCAGCAGTGAGCCATCCAGCAGGGTCACCTGACACGTCACAGTCTTCATCTTCTTGGCAGGCTTCAGGGAGGACTTCTCCGCCTCAGTCTCCGCTTTCAGCGGCTCGTCCTCCTTCTCCCCGGCCTTGCTCTCTAGCAGGTCCTCCTCCTCCTTCCCGTCGCCGATCCTTTCTGGAAACTCCTCCCCTTTCTCCTCTTTTGCGAGCTAGGACAGAGAGAGACGGTCGCCCCTTAACAGAGAGGTGGCTCGGAAGACCGGAACCTCCGCGCTGCTCCTGCCTTTAAGGCTGCTAAGCTGAACCATACGACGGTTTTATCTCAGAAGACGGAGTTTCCATTGGCTTCACTGCTAGAGCTGATGTCAATGGGCGGATCGAAATTAGATAATGGAAAAAGGCAGGCTGCCTCTAATGGTCACCGAAAAAATGCACGCAGAACGGCCCTGCTTCAGCATTAAAACAGCGTGTTTCCTGTTTTCTTCAGCTGTGAAATAATCTCAGATAAAGGCTTAATACGAGCAACCCGACAAGAAAAGCAAAGATAAGCTTGCAGTGAGGCTCGCGATTCACCCGCAGCAGAGCAGGAAGGAAGGCCTTGTGCTCCCGGACTGCTGCCCTCTGATTGGCCGCCGCCGACGTCCTGCTTTCTCCCACCTTGCATTATGAGCCGTTCAGACCTTTTCGACCATGCTGGGGCGGGGGCAGAAAGGAGCGACCTGAAGCGGCCCTGCCGTACCTGAGTGTCAGCGCTGCCTATGGAATGACTCTCGTCCCTCTCGGCCTCCTGGGGGGACGCCTCCTCCGGTGGGGGGGCCTCCTGCTGCTCCTCCGTCGGGGCCTTATCCTCGTGGTCCTCGCTGGGCTCAGTGCGACTCTGTGACTTCTGTCTCTTCAGCCACGGGGGCAGGAAGCGGGAGAGGCCCCTGGCCTCCTTAGACTTCCTGTCCGTCTGCGGCGAGGCCGTCCGCGGCGTGTCCCCGTCTTGGACGGCGGCCGGCTGCTCAGACTCCTGCTCGGCGTCCTGCTGCGGTGCCGCCGGCTGCTCGTCCGCCTTCTCCGGCTCCTTCTTCACCTCAGCCTCGGAAACGACCTCTGTCGTCATGGTCACCGGTCACACTGTCAAGGCACAGATTGAGGGGGGGG